AATATTTATGTATAGTTAAAATTCCTCCTCTGCTCAGAGTGAACTTTTCTTCCCAGGTTGTGCCAACCTCAGGCCCAGGCTTTTGGAAAAATTGGGATCAAAGTCCAGATTTACCCTTCACTCCCTCAACCCAAGCACCGAATCGTGTTCCTTGCTGGTGGCAGAATAACAGGGAAATAAATAACAGGGAAATAAATATCAGGGAAATAAATAAAGGGAGGCTGTTCCCTGGAAAATGAGATTTATTTGTTGCTCTGGACAATCGGGGATAAATCAGGATTTAAAATAAAAAAATCCAAAGAGATCAACCAACCCTTTTGGAGCTTTTAAAATTAAGTTTTTAACCCAAAGCAAAGGTTTTTGACCCAAAGCAAAGGTTTTTAACCCAAAGCAAAGGTTTTTAACCCAAAGCAAAGGTTTTTAACCCAAAGCATTCTGCACACGAGGGCACAAGGCAGTTATTGAGATTCAGTGGGAATTAAACACGACTTATCCCATTTAACAGGGAACGGGGTTTGCCAGGGAAATATCCCAGGAGAAGCCATTCCCTGCTGTCCTGCAGCTGTGCCACAGCTGGATTTACCCCCTGGCACTGCCCAGAACCAGAGGAAAACCCTGATTTTTCCTTTTCAGGCCCAATGTCTGCGGCTCCAGGTTCCATTCCTACTGCTGTCCCGGCTGGAAAACGCTGCCCGGAGGGAACCAGTGCATTGTCCGTGAGTATCCACCCTGGGGAGTTTTGGGAAGGGAGGCCCAGCTCACACTTGGGATGACAGGACGTTTCCCAACCCACAGGGATCCCTGGGATTTCTCTCCCGGTCCTGGTTAAACCGGGACGGCTCCAACTGCTCCCATTTAACGGGATAAAATTGGATTTTCGGCCCCGTTTCAGCCCCTGTGCTCCTGTGCCAGGTAGTTTGGGTGCCTGCTTTGGGAGATGAGCCTCCAAGGAGGCTCCTGGTGAAGTTATTTTGGAGCTGCTCGTTTGGATGGAATGTTTGAGCTCCTT